ATCGGACAGGGTGGAGGGACAGTGTGGCTACCTTATGTGCTACTGGCATTAAGAAGACTAAGTAAACTTAAGCAAGTTCAGTTAACTTTCCCAATAGACGCGATTATAACTGTGCAATTCTCGCATACCCAATTCATTTCTCCTGGTAAGTTAAAACCTCAACAAGGTCTTTCTAAAAGATTTTTCTTTCCAGCCAAAGCATACACAATACACTGGATGCAATTTAAAATAAATTTATATTTCATTCTAAATCAATTTCTAAATAAAATTAAAACAATTATGTCAAAATATACATGTATATTGAATGAGATTACCTGAACAAATGCTGATTTTAAACGCTGAACAACTTTGATGGCTGTCACTTGGTAGAATACAGCCAAACGTATTACTTGTTGGATGTTCTTGCCAGTCGTCATACACAGGTTTCTTTGTGTTGAAAAAAATACAATCATTTTTTTTTGTTCTCATCACTCTAAACAAAATAAATAAAACTAGTCTCTCACCCAACCGAGAGAAAAGGTTAAGTACTCTCATACCAACAATTACGATTGTGTCTCTCGCAGCACCCGACTGATTATTTTTCAGATTAGCCTCGCACCCACCGATTTGTTGTGAAAAAGATCATAGGCATTCCCCAGCTTAATTGTTAAAAAAATATATATACTATACTATAAACATAACAAGTATTGCAAATATATATTTATTAACAATTAAGCTGGGGAGTGCCTATCGAAAAGATCGGAGTTGAAGTTGCTTAATTCTTTGAAATTACGTTTAGATTCATTTCTGTGAAGGTCCATTTCTTGATGGCGATTTTCATGGATTGTCTGGATTTTCATCTTCGTGAATTTACTTACGATTTAGAAATAAGGCGGGTAGTGATACAAGTCATACTCTGTAAAATAATTTAGGAAGGAAATAAAGCAGCAATTTTTTTTTTTAGAATTTTGGGAAAACAATAAGCATGGCAACATTTCTCCAAGTCAAATAGATTTTTTTCCAAATATATGGTAGAAAATGGGATTTTTTTCCCCGATTGACTGATAGATGAAATATGAAGATAACGAACAGTAATCAAGCTCAACCTCAAAAGTCTATTGGAGCAATACAGATTGGGAGCAGAGCAAAGACGGACTTCTAAAAATATGGGAGGTGGGATCAGGTGCCAATGAGGAGTAAGTGCCCCTGTCGACAGGTATTGACCGCTGTTTGCTTCTTGTCATGATCGGGCAAACGGTTGATTGTTGTTTAATGTCCAACTCAAGAATTTTTCACTCAATTAGATACGTCAACCGCATGCCGGTGAAGAGCTTCAAATTTAGACCTATACTCGGCACTCAGGGCTACTCAGTGCACAGTGAGGGTTCTTTATCTTTCCAATGCGTACCGTGACACGGAACCTCGGTTTCTCAACGTCTCATCCGAAAGACCCCGTGACTTTTACTTCTAGTGCCGGGCTCTTGGCGAAGGAACAGTCACTACCTGTGTTTACATTTTAGGTTTGACGCAGCGCCGCGAACGAGAGTCGAACCCGGGCCTCCCGATCACGAAGCGTGCGCCCTATCACTAGGCTACCGTGACCGGTCGGGCAAGTGGAAAAAATGCCCATACAATATAAATGAAAAAAGTTAATCAGCATTCGACATAACGATAGATTGTATTTGGTAACAAGGTCACTGTGTTAATCATAAAATTTGCGAAATGTTGACTTAAAACGATTATATCATTGTATCAACACTCTATTTGTCAATAGCTTGCCTCGGTTTAGAAATTGTTCGTGGTGAAACATGCTCTTGCGTATTGAATTAGCTGGGAAACATAAACTCATGACCTTGTTAGCAAAGATAACCTATCATAATGTTGTATTTTGGCTGACGTGTTTTATACCAATTCTTAGGCCTTTGTTTTTATGCTAAATTTACTATGGAATGTTCCGACTACCTGATCAAAACATAAGGTTCACAGTGACTGGTCAACAGGGGATGTTTACTCCTAAGGCACCTGATCTTTCTTTTGGTATTTCCGAGGTCCGTGTTTTATGTCCTGTTTACGGATTCTGGATTGTTTGTTTTCATCTTTTTCAAATGCAGGTGATAATGGTTTATTGCTACCTAAATAAGGGAAGGTGAGGATAGAAAAGTTGAGGTTATTACGTTCATTGTTAGTTTGTCATAAATGTCTTTTTCGCAGTAGAAATATGAAAGAAATATGCCAGACTGTGTGGTGTCTTTCGAGTTCAAAGGAATAAATACGAATCGACGTAGGTATGAAAATAAACATTGTTAATTTATAAAACGTCGTCTATACATCAAGTTTAAGGCCACAGTAAGATGCTTCTTCTTTTCATGAAGGAGTTTTTAAATAAATTCTGCTTCATATGAATACAAAAATAGGTCTGCTTATAACGAGGCGCAATTAGTATCCATCTGAATTCCAACAAATTGTCGGATTGATTGTATATTGTTTCACGTCCCGTTCGAGAATTTTTTCACTCATATAGAGACGTCACCATATAAAGGTGAAGGGCTTCAAGTCTAGGGTGTTGCTAAAACGCGGAACGGAACGGAAAATGATTCAAGGTTAAAGCACTTAAGATAAAAAAAAATCATACCAGAAACAGTATACATATAAATGTTTCATATTTAATCCGTTATTATTAATAAACGAGTTGATTTAGTCATGTTCTTTCTCTTAATCATGAAGATCTCTGAACATAGACAAAGCACAGGGTACAGAAAAAGGAACAGAAAATATCTAATGCTGTACATATATACATGTAACATGTGGTAAAATATGGATGAGTGGGAAAACTTTATTGAAGATCACTCTGATCTACATGAACGGCAGGTGTTCGATATCCTTATGAGCCGTATGAAGGAAAAATTACATAATTTTCAATGCATATGTACCAATGCACCTTAAGCATGGATAACGTACCTCTTTGCATCCCCCTACTAAAATATAACTAACAACTCTAAATTTTCTCCGAAATATGTAATTTCTCCATCCATCTCTTTACGTTATTCTGTGCAATCAGTTTGCGCTGTTTTGCACAATTTGGCCACATACATGCATGTTATCTTTTTTAAATCCCCGTTTCAGGCCCCTGTGGATTGCATCAAAACACTCCTGTAATTGTAATAAAACTTTTTAAAATTTTTCTTTAATGCCAGTGATCGTTGTTTCTAACACAAACGTATATTTACTGTCTGTTTTTCTCCGCCCGTTTCAAAACAACACAATCTGATTAAAATCAGATCCTTTGGTCCGCTCACATAGATCGCTACACAAGGAGATCCTTGTGTAGCGATCTATGTGAGCGGATCAAAGGATCTGATTTTAATCAGATTGAAAACATCATTACCCCTTTCATAATCAATAATGATGATTTTGTCTTTGACGAATAAGCCATTTTTAAAATTCAGATCTGGATGAGTGAAAAATGAGACATTCTGATAGATAATTGGGATGTGAGTCTAATTAAGTTATATTTATAGTACTTTCTTTCGTTTGTAAGGGATTTATTGTGCAGAGAGGCGTGGCAATTGAGTCGCGCAGCGAAGAGATTGTCACGCCTCTCTGTACAATAAATTCCTTACAAACGAAAGAAAGTGTCTGTAAATGCCTGTGACATGGTCATTTGCAGAGTCACTCCTTCAGCACCAAACTGCACGCGACATAACGTCATAGACCTAGGTCCATCGTAAGTGAATAGGGTGTTCAAACAAAGCAGAAAGTACGAAGGAGATGGTTGCATTGAAAAGTCGAGCAATGTTAGAGTGTGCAATTGTATTTGATGGATTAATTTAAGCAGTATGAGTATTTCAAGAACCATAACAAATGCAGGCACAATACTAGAAACCTGGATCCGCCCGCACTATGCATTGCTATGACCCGCTACATTACTGTTATTAGGGATATGCTTGCATGTCCTGAGGAAATCCGAGTCAAGTACTGTAGCCAAAGGTATCAAGTGTGAAATAGTCCAGATACATGTACATACGAACATGTATCAGTTTGCATGTAACACAAAGAACTTAGAAAACACTTGTTATAGTATTAAGGGAATCATCGAACTGCGCGTTTTCAATATTGTTAGATTTCAATAATTCGTTTTAATTTGAATACATGTATTTCATGAAATTCTATGTATTTTTAAAATTTTTGAATGTTTACATGTAATCCTCATGAAAATGGTTTTCACGTATGCATTTTCAGATTGAAGGGGTGGGGGGGTGAATTTTGTGAGGTTTCTCATTTTTCCTCTGGATAGGTTGTATATGCTTACAGAAATTGAAAAAAAAATCAAAAAGTATTGAGTTCTTTTGGAAGTTATTGTACAGTACATTGGAAGTTATTGTAGGGCTAAGCTCCGCCCCCTAGAAGTAATAGTACTTTGGAATTCAGCTAAAGGTTTTCTATCTGATTTAAAGTATGGCTAACATCAAAAGAAAAAGTACCGCACCATGACACAATGTGCATTTTATTGACCATTGCATGTATATACCACATGTTTTGAGGGGAAAAAAATCATGAATAAATCACATTTTTACGATAACTTTTAATTAGATATGAACTACATGTTATAGTTAAAGTACATTTTATCGAGTGTATCATGGATAATCAAGGGGGCGGTGACGAGTTTGCGAAGCAAACGAGTCTCCGCCCCCTTGATTATCCATGATTCACGAGATAAAATGTAACTTAACTGACTTGTATCAACGAACCAATCAGAAAGCTCGGAACACTAGGGCGAAAATTTTCCATAAAACAGCGTGGGAATGTATCATATCATATGAATGTATCAGGGAATGTACCCGCGAAAATATCGGGGTTTTTTGTAATACAGCCGACAGCATTCGATAGATTCCGTTATGTTTTCCCGCTCTGCAACCGGCATATTATTGGTTCTATAGACTATCGGGACATTTCGAAGTAATTTCCCGCTAATTCATCGTTATATTCTTGGAATATTTTTGCGCAGTTAGTCATTTACTTCGATGAAGTTGAGGAGGATGGACGTATTAGACGATTTGTCGACCATTAACCTGGGCGATTTAGGTGTTTTAGACATTTTTAACATATGCGGATTTACCGAAGAAGATACTGAACTCTCGCAGGTATGTGATGAAATTGAAGAAGAAAATGCCATATCAGAGGGTCTGTGTGAAAAGCTGAATTTAAATCGTGCCGAAAATATGGACAGTGAAATTGGTATCGAGTTTGGTTCTTTCAACCTAGATACAGTGGACCCAGTAGCTGATATTTCCGATCCAAAGCCTCGACCAGTGAAATCGGAACCCGGTGATAATGGTGAACGGTTTGGAAAACCGGTGACGGATGATGAAATTTCAAAATTGATTGCGTCGAACGAGAATGCTAACACCAAGAAAAATACCACGTGGGCTCTCAAGGTCTTCGAGGAATGGTGGGAGAAACGTAATGGTAATTCCGTTGATGAAATACCACTCTTATATTTAATGACGGAAGAGCAGTTGAATTTTTACTTGGGGCGTTTTATTGTGGAAACTCTGAGAAAAGATGGCATTGAATACCCTCCCCGATCTCTCTACCTCATATCGTGTGGGATATTACGCCACCTCGGAAATAAAAACATCTTCGACAAAAACATTTTGGACAGTAATGACCCAATGTTTCGTGAATTCCGGAAAATTCTTGACAGCAAAATGAAGCGCGGGTTTGGGAGGGCGATTAAGCAAGCAGAGCCGATTATGCCACAGGGTGAGGAAAACATAACATTTTCAATTTTTAAGAATGAAGACTTGCTAAAAATAAAGTACGTGAAATGTAAAAACATTTACGGGCCAAAAAAAGTTCAGTTTAATGTTACAAGAAATAATAAAAATGTTTTTAAAATTGATTCATTTATTCAAAAGGAGGTGGAGCTTCCTGTGATGTGGTAAGAAGTTATTGTACAGTTGTGTACTTTTTCTGTACAATAACTTCCTGATATTGGAAGTTATTGTACATTTGGATGCTCCACCCCCTTGGTGTATAAGAATTAATGAACTACTACCAGTAAAGGAAGAAAACAAGGGTTCGTGATACAAGTATTAGATAAGGAATAGTGCTTCCTATGTCTGAATTATATCTGTGCATAGTGAAAAACTTGACATCAAATTTTCCGTTCCGTTCCGTTTTCCGTTCCGCGTTTTAGCAACATCCTCAAATCTAGACCTTTTACTCTGCACTCAGGGCCATTGAGCAGTGAGGGTTCTTTATCGTGCAACGCCTGCCGTGACACGGGGCCTCAGTTTTTAAATCTCATCCGAAGGACCCGCAACTTTCACTTCAAAGTGCCGAGCGCTTGGCGAAGGAACAGTTGCTACCTATTTTTTATCGACTTAGGTCAGTCGCGGTCAGGGCTCGAACCCACGACCTTCCGATCACAGAGCGAGCGCTCTACCGAATGAGCTACCGTGACGGTGGCAGATTGTTGGAAGAATTGATCTCAAAAACTACTAAGCATTTTTTTGTTATCAACCTTGGAATATTTGTAAAAACTTGTGTAGAAAACTCATAGACTTCATTCATAGATTTAAAAAAAAAAGGAATATGTAGAATTAGAATTACAGTGTCCAATTCCGGGACAGCAAATGCGAGAAATATTAAAGAGTCAATTACAGCGTCATTTGAAGCTGAAACTGCGAATTGTCCATCAGATTTCTAGAAAATACCTTTAAAATAAAAACAAAAAGTAAGGAAATTCTGTGTTTACATGATGGATTGTATGTTGTTTTACGTCCCGTTCGAGAATTTTTTTTCTCATACAGAGACGTCACGTTTACTCAGCACTCAGGGCCATTGAGCAGTGACGGTTCTTCAGCGTGCCAACGCCTACCGTGACACGGGGCCTCGGTTTTTAAGGTCTCATCCGAGGGCAAATTTCACTTCAAAGTGCCGAGCGCCTGGTGAAAGAACAGTTGCTACCTGTTTTTTTGTCGACTTAGATCAGTCGCGGACGTGATTCGAACACAAGACCTTCCGATCACGTGCTTAAATGAAGAAACCATATTAGTAATGGGAGAGAGAACCCCTAATTACATAACATGATTTAAAAATATAACTAGCTACAGCAAGAGAAATGTCCAGTGAACATTTTTAATTCACTGATGTATTAAAACAAATTTTGATTGCGAAAGAGTAAAATATCAAAAACTTTCGAAGTAAACAGGAAAATAGAATAAGTAGAAAAACTTTTAAGGGGTCAGCCCCTTTTTCTTAATATCAGTTGAAAGGTATTGTTGTTCTGAAGTCGTTCTGTTCAACAATTTTTCAAAAGTTTCTTTTCGTTTTCGAGATAGGTAGAATAGAAATATTCAGGGGCTAGCCCTTCAAGTTCTTAATTGGTCCATTTTACAAGATACTGTTAAGAACATTATTCTGAACATCTTTTGTTCACCATTGCTTATCAAAATATTTCCCCTTTTGGAGATATATGATTGATTGTATGTTGTTTTACGTCCCGTTCGAGAATTTTTCACTCATATAGAGACGTCACCATATACCAATGAAGGGCTTCAAATTTAGACCTTTACTCGGCACTCAGGGCCATTGATCAGTGACGGTTTTTTATTGTGCCAACGCCTACCGTGACACGGGGCCTCGGTTTTTAAGGTCTCAACCGAAGGAGCCGCAACTTTAACTTCAAAGTGCCGAGCGCCTGGCGAGGAACAGTTGCTACCTAATTTTTATCTCTACTGGTCAGAGACCAGAAGAGCTTATGCGATAGTAAGGTGTCCGTCGTCCGTCCGTCTGTCTGTCTGTAAACAAAACGCTACTCCTCCTACAGTTTTGGTCTGATTTCAATATAACTTGGCACACAAGTAGACTACACTAAGATACATGTACATAATTAAGTGCATCGGTTTTTGATTTCGTTGAACAGTTACTAAAAATAGAAATTTCTGTGAAATTCCTTTAAAACGCTACTCCTCCTACAGTTTTGGTCTGATTTCAATATAACTTTGCACACAAGTAGACTACACAAAGATACATAATTTAGTGTATCCATTTTTGATTTCAATGAACGGTGGTGCCATGGTTACTAAAAATAGAAATTTCTGTGAAATTCCTTTAAAACGCTACTCCTCCTACAGTTTTAGTCTGCTTTTAATATAACTTGGCATACAAGAAGACTATACTAAGATACATAATTTAATGCATCAACTTTTGATTTCAATGAACAGTATTTCCATGGTTACTAAAAATAGAACTTTCTGTGTAATGCTTTTAAAACGTTACTCCTCCTACAGTTTTGGTCTGATTTCAATCTAATTTGGCACACAATTAGAATACACTAGGATACATAATGTCTCATCAGAAACTTCTGGTTTATCAACTTAAGTCAGTCGCGGCCATTGATTCGAACACACGACCTTCCGATCACGGAGCGAGCGCTCTATCGACTGAGCTACCGTGACGGCTTTATGAGATATAAAGCGTCAAAGATCTAGTATTCTAGTCTCTTTTGGCCCATTAAATATATCAAATATATGTATACTAGCATTATCAAAAGTTTATAATATATATATATAGTTGTAAATTGTAAAGATGAACATTTTTGCTTCAGTAATTAGTAACAAATTATTGAACGTTAAAGAGGTATAGATGAATGAGTTTTGGCCCCTTTGAACCCTTAAATTGAGAAGACAGTCCATTTTTCCTGATATCAAACGAAAGGTCTTGTGATTTTGAAGACTTTAGTTGAACAAATATTCAATGTTTCTTTTCGTTTTCCAGCTATGTAGAATAGAAATATTTAGGGGCCAGCCCTTAATTATGCCGCTTTGCAGAAATTGAAAGGGTGCTATTGTTAAGAACATTATTCTAAACATCTTTTGCTAAATTTCTCTTATAAAAATATTTATCCGTTTCGAGATATAAAGTGTCAAAGATTTAGCATTCAGTTCCCTTTTGGCCCTTTTTTACGTAATATATGATGGAAATTTTATATTACATTGTTGCTAATCGTTAAGATGAATATTTTTGCTTTAGTAATTTATAACAAAATATTGATCGTTAGGGGCAACTGGGGTAAGTGGACACATTAAAGGTTTAATTGGAGTCTGAAAACTTCTAATCTGAACTAATCTTTCTTGTAGTATACTAAACTGATAGTTCACTCTTATCTCTTTGTAGTGTAAAATATTTCTCAACTTAATTCAAATGGTTTGAAATATATGGGCTAAAAAGTTAAATTTTAAAAAGTGTTCACTTACCCCATAGATTTGGGGTAAATGGACAGTGTTGAAAATTATGAAATAACAGTACACATTGTCTTTGAAGATACAATTACACATCTTTATATTATCGACAAAAAAGTTAAAATTAATGAATTTATTTTTTTTTCTTTTTTCAAAATTGAAATTAATTTTCTGAGATCGATCACTAACCGTTATCTTTACCCTTTTTCAATTATGAAAAATTTTGAAATGCATATATGTTTTTCTAACTTTAATGACATAAAATCATCGATATAATTCAGTGACTCAAAACATCCAGTATATAAGGTATTTCACACAAGTAAACATTCTCCAACACACAAGAAAGTGGAAAACCAAATCAAAAAAATTATCGATGCTTGTCACATACAAAATGTTCTAGCTGGCGTCCATATTTTCCAGTGCAAGATTCGTGGTACCAATCATCACAACTAGTACATTTAACCCAGTCCTCATCATCTGAATCTTCATCATAATAGTACCCCCCACAGTAGGAGCAGCAATTAATGGTGTCAGTGTGAGAAGGGATATTTTCCTTTGACTTTGATGTAGTCTTCTTTGATTTACTTGTAGGCTTAATAAGCTGTTTCTTCAATTTTTCCATCTCTTTCTTTTGTTTCTTTTCTTCACGCTCTTTTTTTCTTATTTCTTTTTCCATCTGGTCTTTTTCTCTTTTTTCCTCCTTTTGTCTGATTTCATTGATGAATTCATTCTCTGTTACACATCTTGCACCAAGAACTTTCTTAGTTTTTCTTTGAGCTGGTTCTTTGACAACTGTTGGAAGTTGAAATGCTTCTGTAATTTCTTCTGAGACAGACAAGGAGCTCCTTGGAACCTGGGTTGGTTGACCAATAGAGACTGCCATGTTCCCAGCTGATGCAATTTCCCCCTCACTGGTAGTGCTGGTTACAGAAGCTAAGACAGAAGTTTTTGATGGCCCAAATGCCTCTGCAGGAATAGCCAGAGGGTTGAAGGGAAAAATACCTGTAGCTCTAAAACCTCCAAAGATATTTACCATATTCATTTTCTCATTATATGCATGAGAGAAAATTCCGCAAAAGTCATATCTGGATATTTGTCTGCCAGGATTTGATTTCAAAAATGATTCACAATGCTTGTAGTATGCCTTCTTTAAGGGCCCAAAAACACTTCTGTCCAGTGGCTGTGTCCAATGCGTTGTGTGAGGCGGCAAGCAGAATATTTCAACGTCATTTGTCTTCGCTGCTTCCAGAAGATGAAGTGTAATATGAGAGGCATGGCCATCTACTATCAGCAACACTGGTCTTTGAGGTGAGAGGTTGGACAAAAAAATCTTTTCAAACCATATTCCAAACAGTTCTCCATCAATAAATGAGCTTTTACTGCATGCAAACAGTGTGTTCTTTGGTGCACTGCTCATTAAAGCTTGACTGATTCTTTTTCCTTTGAAAATCACCATAGGTGGCAAAACATGGGCCTCAGCATTTACACAACACAAAACTGTAATGTTTTCACCCCTTTCACCACTTGTTTTCGCATGAATGGCTTTCTTCCCCTTCCTCCCCACAATTTTTGATGTTTGATGAACTGTACTAAATCCTGTTTCATCTGCATTAAATATTTGCTGGGGTTTTGACTTTACATTGAGTTTATCCATAAGATCTCCTAGCTTGGTAAAATGGTCTGAAATTACATTTGGATTAAGCATAGTACCACGAGCAGCACTTAGACCTTCAGGTTTACAGAGAGATAAGCATGGGTGCCGGTCTCGAAATCCCTGCCACCAGTCATATCCTGCCATTTTCTTGTCTGCATTAAATGGATTTTTTCTTCCTGAGTGTGCAATAATTGAATATGCAAGCTTACATACATCTGATATTGTCAAACCAAACCCACGTTCCTCCATCTCCAAAATGTGACTAACAAGAGAGTTTTCTTCCTCTTTAGACAGAGTGGTTGGTTTTGATGCTGGAGACTCCAAATCCATTGTTGAAAGTCTCCTCGACAGGGTTATTCTTGGAATGCCAAATATCTTAGAAGCTTTAAACTTGGTCATTTTCCCCGTTTTAACACACTGAACAGCTTTACTTAAAGATTTTCTGTCCCATTTTCCTTGTTTGGGCACCCAGTCTTTTTTCTTTCTGGCCATTTTACAATGTTTTCCGTTTCTGAAATTAAAAAAAAATATTTTAGTTACATAAAAACACAAAATCTCTGTGCAAGAAAATATTTACCATCAGAGATACCTTTACTTTTCTTTTTTTTTTTAATTTAATTTGCAATTATTTAAATTTATGTTACAGAAAATCAATTTATGTATTATTTTCATGATTAGAAATATCATTTAAAAATTAATTTGATACATAAAACTAAGATTTATACCGATACAATTCAAACTGAATATCTAAAGATTAAACCTGAGACTGCTGTTTAAATAACATTGTCACGGTTTTGCACTGTCCACTTCCCCCAACAAACTTGGGGTAAGTGGTCACAATATGACATTTTGACATTTTTAAATTAATCTAATCAATTATTCTAACCAAATAAATATTTGTGTTTGCAAATTATTAATTTCGAAGAGTATGTTGCCATTCATTACATTTTTTTTTTAATAAATCTTGAAAATTGTAATAAATCCATGAAGGACACAACGTAATTTTTTTTCATTATCACGTGACCTTTCTAAAGGGTAAACGTAAAAAGAAAGCTTACAATTTTCCCTTCCACTTGAACAACAAAACATAATAATGTGTAAATTAATATAATATTTGAAAAACTAGTATCTAATTATTATCAAATATTAACGCCTCTAACGGACTGAACTTGAATATTTTGTTATCAATACACAAGCTTTTATTATGTTTGTTTACAGATTTTTCAAAGGGTAGCCATTTTTTATGTGAAGATTATATATTGTTTACAGGAATGATGCGATAAAAATAATATAAACTGCAAAAATACATCAATGTAAACACTCCAGACTTAAAACTGATGCGTCATTGTATAGATTGAAAACAAGTTCTTTTGCTTAAAGGCGAACAGTTTTTATTTAAACAATGGTTAATCTCTGCAGTATTTATGACAATACTAAGAAAATGGCTCTGTGCAGTTTACTTACGGATCGAGTCACAGTTTTCTCCTTTTTTTCAATCGAAGTCGTTGACCTTGAATTTTCCCTGTCTTTGATGTTAACACATTTGCTTCCTCCTTTACAACGAGAGCTGAACAGGTTTGATAACTCTTGTTTGCTTTAATTTTTAAGCAATTTTTTAAAAATGTGTCCACATACCCCGAGTGTCCACTTAACCCAATTGCCCCTAAAGATGTTATTAAAAAGGCCATTCCGAGTCCCTAATTTGAAGAGTCAGTCCCATTCTCTTGATATCAAATGGAAGATATTATGATTTTGAAGACTTTTTATTCAATAAATTCAAAAGTTTCTTTTCATTCTCGAGATTTGTAGAATAAAAATATTTAGGGACCAGCCCTTCAAGTCCTTAATGTGTCTGTTTTGCAGAAGTTGAAAGGATGCATATTGTTAAGAACATTTATCTGAACATCTTTTCGTCAATATTGCTTATCAAAATATTTCCCCTTTTCGATATATAAAGCATCAAAGTCTTCTGGCCCCTTATTATGTAATATATGTTCAAAGTTTTATAATATATAGATGAAATATATTTTAAAGCCTTGTGTGAAAAACTACATATTAAATTTTGCAGATATATTCTCGCAGTTCATATGAAAAGTACAAAATATGCAGTTCTTGCTCAACTGGGAAGATTTCCCCTTGATTTTAATATAATATAACACATGTTGAAGTATTGGCATCGATTAGAAAATCTAGATCAATCATTTCCGATTTTGAAAGCAGCATACATTGCAGCTAAGTACAATTTTAAAAACAAAAAAACCATCTTGGTTTGTAAGTATAAATATATTATTTACATAACCTTCCAAACTAAAATACTCTCAGCACTCACCAAATTTTCATTTACATCACAGTGCAAGAAAAGCTTTAACAGTTTCATATTTTGGACTATTGGTGCAAGAAGAGAGATTGTTTTAATCTTTAACTGGAAAGCTTGATACATACTGGAAAATTTAGCAAATTTTTGATTTTAAAAAATATTTGACAATAATGAGTAATTTTGATCAAAGAAAGAAACTCACTAAATTTATAATTCCTGCACACAAACTTAGAATTGATACAGGCAGATATTTAGGCTTGTCTACGATTGCGAGAAGTTGTGTAACTATATATATATATATATATATATATATATATATATATAGTATTATATAGTTAAATCTATTTTTAGTATTAAAATAATTTTTTAAATAAATTTTCAAATAAAATTTTACTTTTATTTTTGGTAAAATATTACACTTGATTGTTTACACAACGTGATTAAAATATGATCAAATTTATTTTTTTTATTTGAAAGAAAGAACTTCGATAATTAAATTATGAGGATTATTAAAAATATCACAATAGTAATGAATATTAATTAGTAACGGTCAATTGATCATTAATGTATGAATAAAGTGTACAGCATTTCTCCGTATGGGTTTACAAAATTAATGTACGTACACTGCTATGAATTGGTTATACCATTTAATGAACATGCTTACTAAATTATTTTTCATAATCGGACAAATCATTAAATCAATTGGTATATATGTTTGTTTCGCTTTGAAAAAAAAATTAATTGTAAGGGGAAAATGGCGTGTACATGCACAGTACATTGTAAGCGGATCTCGTAATTTCTTGTTAACTAAACAAACCGTATGGCTTTCTTCCTTCCTGCTTTTCGGCATTTTATTTACAAAACCAACAGTTTACTCCGCAAGTAACTGATACTGCTTTTCCGTTGCCAGTTTTATATCAGTTTACCTGTCTCTCTACCTATTGTAATATTTTATTTACGCTGTCCAGTTTGTATTTGTTGGTTGCTTGTTTATTTTTTAAATTCAGCAGTTTCAGAAATATTCCAACAGCTTCACAATGTCAAGGTTTTGTGAATTCGTTTTCCAGCGGGAGTATGATTTTTTTTTAATTTCTCCGTATGTTGATGAACACTCTCCATGACTTAAAGCAATGTCAGCTGTATTTTTGTTATTAAAATGTGCTATTAAGCCTATGATAATTTTGTATCCAACTAAAACCTTTATGATCAATGAGACTAAAAATTAATGAGTTGTTTTACCAGGATATTTCGTACTATGGAATATATACAGTATTTCCTAAATAAATTTGCTCAGGACTACTAAAAAGTAATTTTGCATCAACTGGGGCTTAAAAATTATTTTCGAATTTCAATCATAAGTAACAGAAGTTAAAAAAAAAGAAATTATAAAACTTCAGTGTTTTTTTATTGTCATTGAAATAGTAAATTAAAATTTTACAACAACAAAAAATTCCTTCATATTGCTTGTAAGAAAATAAAAAAAATATTTTAAATCTGTCAGTTCTTTGTTACAAAACAACGTGGATTTGCTCGGTGTAGGGAAAAAAATCAAAACGAGCAATTTACAATTTAACTCAGAATTGTCTCAGAACTCCGATAACACATATTTTAAAAGTACAAAGGAAATTCACTTTGCCTTCAGCTTCATTCCTAATCTCTGCTAGATAAAATGTCCAGATATCTGTTACTAGCTTGAATGTATACAAGAATTCTATAATTGCTTTAAAACACTAGCCACTAGTCTATTTTGCATTTTGGCATATCTATCTGCTCGTGAAGGATATACATACATTGCTCCGAAACGATAACAGCCGATTGAGCAGTGACGAGTACAGTATGGTTAATGTCACTCTCGGTAAATATATGCATTGATCACGTCTAATGCAGGCATGCATCGAGAACCTTTGTCCCATATAATTGCAATGGAGAGCCTCTGTAGCAAAGGGCTAGGCTCTTTGTTTTATGGTTATAATGATGGTTGATGTTTTACTTTGGTTAATTCTATTATTTAAAAGTGAAAATCTGCATACACCCAAAAAAACTGAATTGTTTGAGAGAGAAAATGTATGCGAAACATCTGATAATGCTGCGTTCTGGCAATTCCGGAATGACACGAGTTCAAATTTCATGCAGTGAAACGTGCACAAGGGGAATGTTGTAAATAGATTGTATTGAGCTGTGTAATTTTGGGATTGGTGATTATAAATTATAAAATCCACTCGAAAACTGGAAATGTCACAAGGAAGAATCCTTCTATGCTGGGTGTGTGTCATAGTGAGTATTAGTGGAGAGATTGACAGTTCGCCAATACTGCAGCAGGTGAGACCGGGGGACACAACGAAGTTAAGGTGCACGGTAGGGGAACTGGGAAACGAAAAGGTAATTTGGAGTGGAAAACGCGATGAACTACTGTTTATTGACGAAAATAGAGTGACATCAGAGTCAAGATTCACTTTGAAGCGCCCCTATTCTAAAAGCTGGAATCTCATCATTGAAAACATTAAACTTGGAGATGGGGGATCGTACAAGTGTAAAGTCGGTCGCTCGGTAATTAAAGAGTATACGTTGGAAGTGCAATATTCACCTCGAATTTTACCGTCGGAATCAGGTGGAGACAGCCTGGTTAAGGAGGGAAAAAATGTTACCCTTACTTGCGAGGCAAAGGGGGTCCCGCCTCCAAAATTTGTATGGCATTTGATAAAAGGCAACCAAGAAATGCAGATGGATAAGGGTCCACAGTTAGTAATACCAAATATTAGGCAAGAAGAGTCGGGTGTGTATAGATGTACAGCGTTTAATGGAATCGAACCAAATGGTACCATGGATGTAACAGTGGGAGTAGAATACGCACCTGTAGTTACTGTTTACAACCCCAAGTTAATGCGAGAAAAGGGTAAGAGTGCAAAGTTAGAATGCATTGTTGTCAGCTTTCCCAAGGGTCGATACAACTGGACCAAAGATGGTGAAGTCATAAAAAAGGACTGGAATCACGATACCCAGAAAATTGAACTAAACTTGACTACCACGGTTATGAGTCTCAATATAAAACAGGTGAGGCAGCCATCAGGATTTGGATTGTACCATTGTGAGGCAGAGAACCAGTTTGGTAGAGCTGTCGGCAGTGTCACACTACAAGAGATTGTCACAACTTCCAACAAACCGTCTGCTGGGACAGGTAAAGATGGAAGTGTGCAGCTTTGTTCTGATCGCATCTTGTTTTACCTTTTAGTTTTAACATTATGTGTAACTTTCTAAATGTTCTGAATGTGGGTTTTTTTTTTTGCAAGTCTGAGAAGATATTCATCGAATATTACTCCAGAATTTGTTTACATTTTAGTTCACCTGAGCTGAAGGTTTAAGTGAGCTTTTCTGATCAAAATTTGTCCGTTGTCTGTCAACGTCGTTGAAAACTTTTCACATTTTTATCTTCTTTTAAAGAGCCAATTTCAACCAAACTCAGTCTCCTTAATTGAAGAAAAATAGTTTATTCAAACGAGGAACCACGTCCCCTACAAAGGGATATAATAAAAATGCCAAAATAGGCTAGAGTAAAAAAAAAAAATTCAACAACCACTGGACCACATAATATGAAATGCATGCGAAAGCTTCCTGACATAGGTAAGATTAAAGTTGCTCAAACCATGGACCTCAAAATGGGAACAAAGTTCTACATAGAAATTTATAGCGGAAAATCTGTAGAAACTATCTAAATGAAACCAGGGCCATAGTTTGGCATAAATATATGCAAACACCCCCAGGTGTTGGAGATTCAACCCTACTCAAATCATGGCCTCCGGGGTAGGGTGGGGCCCCATTTTGGGATCAGTTTTACTAAGGAATATATGGGGGAAATATTCTCAAGAACAAGGCCAACTTGCGTTGGGTTGGACTTAAAGTTGGGGATCACATTAACATAATACATGTAGATGTATGGGGGGTCTCTAAAAAATCTTCTCAAGAAATGCAAAATCATGTTTGTCACATTGATATTAAAAAACCCAGTGATAGTGGATTCAAATTTGGTGAAGCTATGGCCCACTGAAGCTAGGATGGGCCATGTATTACAGTGGGGGAAAGTCTTTGAAACATCTTTAAAGAACAGCGTATACAAGGTGAATCGGGTGAGAATTATGGCCCTAGGGCCTCTTGATATTGCATCAAGTGATTCTCATTAATAAGGTCATAGATATCTCTTGATTCTTATTATAGCCCAAATCGTTGTAATTCAGATATCTAAGATCCAAAAGTAAGATGTCGTTACATGTGTTCTATAGCAATAATAATATTGTTCTGAAAATTAGTAATTTTAAAACTAGATCTTTTCTGACTATTTAATTTGTAATGAAAATGTCAATTTATTTAAATTTGTACTCTCTTAATAGAGCTTCATGAGAGTGATCAATTGTATGTATTAATATTTAATTGTGAATTATAACAAGATCAGATTTTGCAATGGTTAACTATTATTTCCTCAACATTTTAGTAACGCAATTTCGTATATGTATGCTGTTCATTCAGCGCATGCAAGAACATGCAAACGGATGGGAGACCTATTGCTTTGTTATTACGTATTTTTTAAAAATATTTTAATTTCGATGTTTGTACGTTTCCACAAATATCTTGATATCTTAAAAATCTGTATTAATATGGTCGATTTTACAGAGTATCATTCTTAAATTTCTGTCATTAATATATACATGTATATTCTTGAAATACTTGTGAGAAAAGTTTGGTAACTGAATAATTGATAAATACGTTGCTTTGAACATTTTGCAGGCTTTGTGAACATTGTCTGCACTGAGAGGGACATTAGTATATATAAGTTTTGCACGCCTTTCTAATAAAGAATGGTTTATCAAGCATATATTGTGTTAGGAAACATATTTTAAGGATATGCATTAATTTGGTTGATTTTACAAGGAGTTCAATCTCAAATTTCTGCTTTCCATAAATATTTTTTTCTACTGTTCGTAAGAGTTTGGTGGATGAATAATTGGTAAATAAGTTGCCGTGAACATTGTCTGAAGCGACATTAGTGTAGTAAAATCTTGCATGCCTTTATAATAAAGTGTGATTTATCAAGCCTATGTTGTGTTGGAAAATCTTTTGTTACCATATCCACAAAAGGGTGAGAGGTAATATTGCAGAAAAATGTACACAAAAATATAAGTAACTTCCACAAAAGAAATTTGCACACGCATTTTTTAGTTAATTTATCCAACTAAATACCTTGTTCGCAAAGCGTGTCCTTGACTCCGAACGCCATGCGCATTTCATCAAATTGGCTCCCGCCGAACAGAGATTCAGTGTATACGCTGTGTTTATCAGAATCCTAATAAATTAGTTTTGTATCGCCTGCTTTTCTCTGCCTAAATTTGTTTAAAATTTAAAGAACTACGTGGTGCAATTCCCGATTCAATTTTATCTTTTTTTACAACCTTATATTAATGAAATCATTTAAAGAAATGAGGATTTACGGAGGTAAATATTTACTGTGTATTCTAATCATTCAATGATTTTTTTTTAAAGTGTTGGAATCTGCATTACTGAAAGCTATCGTGCAGTCATTAACCTATTATACGACCGTCACTGTAGCTCAGTCAATAGAGCGCTCGCTCCGTGATCGGAAGATCGTGTGTTCGAATCAGGGCCGTGAAGGCGAATAGTAAACAATTGTTAGTAACATCTGGACATTTCCGTTGCATGAACTGCAGCAATACCAGAAATGGTTGATGGTTGGGCATATCCATGGTAACAGGCTGCGGCGGGAAGCCCATACAGTGCCTGTAGTTAGAACGCGTGCAGTAACCTTGAATCAATTTTCCAATTCAAAAGTCGAGATCCAAAACCCTCTGGGTGTAAAATCCATGTCCGGCTTAAAGGGTGTGCAATGATTTTGAAACAATTTTCCAATCAAAAGTCATAGTCGAAAAACGCATATAAACCTTTGTAAAACTCTCCTCTAGGTCCAGTTGGGCTAAAACCTCACCCTAAAGTAGGGTGTGCAATGACCTTGAACCAACTTTTCAAGGTCAATATATGAGTGTCATCACTCAACGCAACGCTATTTCGGTCGTAGAGTATACTTTCAAGCGAGAATAGCGATAACAATGAAACCGATCATTTCCCAAATTTTCATATACTCTCTGCAATTTTAGTCTTTTAGTGTCACCGTCAAAATTATTGGACTTGAACTCTTCTCTTAGCAACCACGAGAAACGGTCTGTTTTAAACTCGTCGTAATTGTGAATCTAATCAAATTGTACTAGTCTTGACAAAATCCTGAAACAGAGTGACCGGATTTGAGACTATAAAAAAAAACCGCCAAAATTGAGTCCACACATGCGTACAAACACAAAAATATCGATTTAAGGGTGTACGAAAACTGCCAGTGAAAAGGGCTGGAAAATATGGCGATCATATCAGTACTCTGAATACATGCAAGTACTTTGAAATTTAAAATTTTTTATTCTATTTGCAAAGAAAGAAAATTGATGTTTTACAAGAGATCAATTACATTGAAAATAATAGGATCAAGAAGTTAAAAAGCGTAATGAAAGGGTAAAATATGCATAACTGAACAATATAGGTTGCAACTGTAAAAACTGGCTGAATTTTACACATAAAATAGTACTTGGGGTTTTAAACAGTACACGCTACACCTGAATTAATTAAAAGCGTGAGTTCTTGCACTCGTTATCTACCTATGATAATAAAGTCAAATGTACAAAAAAGAGCCATTATGCAGAAGCTTATTTGGAGAAAGCAAACGACAAACCTTTGTTTGTTTACATCTGATATGCCATGAACACCATTTGCAGCAATAAATGATGGAGACTTGGACTCGTTTTTTTGGTCGTTCCATGGCCATAGGAACCGGGGGGGGGGGGGGGGCGTGCCCCCCCCCTCAATAATTTTGCCGACATATAGATTACTATAGAAAACATAGATACTATATGCTTGTGCCCCCTCAATAAAAACGTCTTATGAGCTTTTTTTTTTCTTTCTTTTTTTTGCTGGTCAAGTAATTTTGGTAGTTGATAGTGCCCCCTCAACTGAAAATGTATGGCTGTGCCCCCCCCCCCCCCCCAAAAAACTGAAACTGCTTCCTACGGGCCTGCGTTCACTCCATGTTAGGTCGTTCAGACTGTTGTACATCATTGTTTTAGACTATATTTACCTGTTTATTATGCCCCTGGATCGAAAGATCCCGGGGGTATATTGTTTTTGTCTTGTTTGTTTGTCTGTCTGTTGTCAACATTAACCTAGCCCATAACTATTGCGCTGTCAAGGGTAAGGCTGTAATATTTGACACGAGTGTTCATTATGACAAGACCTTTCCATTGGTACAGAATTTTTTCATCATGTGACCTCAACTGTGACCTTTGACCTACATTTGAAAAACTTTAACATTGGCCATAACTATTGCACTGTAGTCTACGTCCCACTCCAGAATTGTGTTACCATCGGGGGCATAGTGTTTCACAAACACATCTTGTGTAATTTTGTTGTCTTTGTTTGTTGTTATGCCCCCGTATTGAAGATTCGGGGGTATACAGTTTTTGCTCTGTCCGTCCGTCTGTCTGTCTGTATGTTTGTTTGTTTATCTGTTTGTCCGCAAAAACTTTAACATTGCTCATAACTTTTGATTGGTTAGAGCTATGACTTTCATATTCCACATATTTATTCCACGTGACAAGACCTTTCTTTGGGTACCATCATATTTGACCTTGACATTGAGGAATGACCCAATTTCGCAAAATATTTCCCTACTTTAACCTTAGCCATAACTTTTGAACAGTTGGTGCTAGGGTTTTCGTACTTCACAATTGTAATTCTTGTGAGAAGACCTTCCTCTGGAGACAAACAACTTTGACCCTTTGACCTTGTCCTAGGAATTTGACCTACTTTTGAAAAACTTTAACCTTGGCCATAACTGTTGAACGGTTGGTGCTAGGGCTTTCATACTTCACATATGTAATCCTTGTGACAAGGCCTTTCTTTGGATACCAACAACTTTGACCTTGAACTACGAGTTTGACCTTATTTTTGAAAAACTTTAACCTTGGCCAGTACTTTTGAACAGTTGATGCTAGGGCTTTCATTCTTTACATGTGTAATCCTTGTGACAAGACCTTCCTTTAGAAACCAACAATTACAGCCCTTTGACCTTGACCTTGGAGTTTGACCTACTTTTGAAAAAGTTTAACCTGGGCCATAACTTTTGAACGGTTGGTGCTAGGGCTTTCATACTTCACATATGTAATCCTTGTTACAAGGTCTTTCTATGGATACCAACAACTTTGACCCTTTGACCTACTTTTGGAAAACTTTAACCTTGGCCATTACTTTTGAACAGTTGATGCTAGGGCTTTCATTCATCACATGAGTAATCCTTGTGACAAGACCTTCCTTTAGAAACCAACAGTTATAGCCCTTTGACCTTGGAGTTTGATCTACTTTTGAAAAACCTTAACCTTGGCCATATCTTTTGAACGGTTTGTTAGGCCTTTCATATTTTACCCGTGTATTCTTGTGAGAAGGCCTTTCCTTGGGCACCATTAATTTTGAACATTTGACCTTGACCTTGATGTTTGACTTACTTCTTAAAAACTTTAACATTTTCCATATCTTTTCAATGGTTGCTGCTAGGGGTTTCATATTTCAAAATTATATTCCTCGGGACAAGAACGTACTTTGGGTACCAACATATTTGATTTGCATTTGAGAAAGGTTAACTTTCGCTGTAAGTTGCCATACGGGGGCATCAGTGTTCCACAAACACATCTTGTTTTCTAAAACTTGTTATTTTCTCTTAAAATGTTTCGACGAAAACAGATGTTACAAGGACGTTATCTATAGACCTATAATAAACACGTCCTAAAACCACATTGTCAAATAAAATATTGAACGCTCGAGGTATCATTAGAGAGTACCGTATCATACCAAAACTACCGGTATGGTTTGGTATGGAACCGTTTTATCCTTTACGGTATCAACCCTATTTAATATCCCGTTAAGCTCGAAATAAAAGACACCATTTAGTCTGACATCTGTTTCATATTTGGATTTTTTTTTTTTACAAGAGACAGACATTGATTGCAAACTGACAACTTTATTAGGAACGCGATGACTTCAACATTTATATCAACAACTTCCCTAGCTTTTGTAGCAATAAACCGTTATCACCCGCTTATTGAGTTTGTCTCCCAGTTGATTCGATAGGCAAGAACATGTTCTACATACGTCGAATTTCTTTTAAAACGAGGCAGGCTGTTAAAATATAAGTTGACGATACAACGAAATCAGCAATCTTGTTTAAAGTAACATTTCGCAATTTCTATGGTTGATATAATGACCTTGTTTAAAAAAAAAAATCCGTCGTTCGGTCGATTGTAGACTCTAGTTTTTTCATACAAATTGTTAAACCATTTATTTTCACACTGAATGTGTTCGGATTTCCCGTTTATCCGATCATGACGAAGAGCACACAGCAGGTGTGACCGGTCGGCAGGCTACTCTTCTTCCATGGCACCTGATACCAGCCCTGTTTTCAAAAGTCCGTGTTGGCTCTGCTTGTAAATATTATTGTTTATATTGACTTTTGAGATATATCACAGTAACCATAATCCAATTTCTTGTTGAAAGTCTAGTACAGTCTAAGTAATATTCTAGGTTTTCCCCGTTCTTGCAGTTGGGCCATTTCGATCATATTTATCTAATGCTACTCGGCATAGGACGAACAATGACCTTAAACCTTTCAAGGTCGCAGGTCGAAGCATCCTTGTTTAAAATATGTTCATATACATGTTTATTACCTTCCTTTGGAGAGGTTTATCTTACAATTTACTGACAGAGTACTTGGAGTAAAGGTTGTGTACAAAGTGATTTCCATGTAAGCTCCCAACAGCATTCCCATCCATTAATATTCTTTTACAAGATTTATTATCCCAATATCCATTTTTAACAGCAGGGCCTTTGAGACAATCACCATTTCAAATCTACTAGAATTTTTATGTGGTTATTAAATTTTCTCTCGTTTTTAAAATCTTCTACCGGTTATTTGCAAACAGAATTATTACTAGTC